TTTTTTGAGACAGGGTTTCTCTGTAGCTTTGGAGCCTGTCCTGGAACTAGCTCTTGTAGACCAGGCTGGCCTCGAACTCACAGAGATCCGCCTGCCTCTGCCTCCTGAGTACTGGGATTAAAGGCATGCCCCACCACCACCCTGCTCTTGATTTGCTTTTTTCATTTCAAATTATTTTATCTACAACTTGAATCATTAAGATTTTTGTAATTCTTTTTAGTTTTTGTTATTTTTTACTTTTTAGATTTTTTTCATCCAATATATTCTGATAATGGTTTCCCCTCCCCCAATTCCTCCCAGATCTTGCCCTCTTTTTTCACCAAAATCTACACATTATCTTTCTTTATTATTAGAAAATAGAGATCTAAAAATAATAATAAAAACAATGGAACCAGAATAGGACAAAACAAATAAATAGAAGAGAAAAAACGCAAACATGTACAGATGCTGAGACACACATTTTCACACACAGAAAACCCATAAAGACAAAATCAGAAACCATAATGCAAAAGATCTGTTTCTTGTTGACCATCCGCTGTTGGGCATGAGATCTGCTCTTAAGTGTGATTTGTATACCTAGTGAAAGTCCGTTGGGGTCTTCATCTGTGTGTGTTAGCATTTGGAGACAGCTTCTGGGTTAATGTTGGGTCTGTTGTCTTAGCAGTGGGATCCTTTGCGGGTTCTGTACACGTTAGCACAGTCTGTGAGTTCCTGTGTGTGTCAGTCTGTTGTGTCTGCAAGGCCTTGCTTCTTTGGTGTTCTCTATCCCCTGTGGCTGCTCCTACAGTCTTTCTGCCTCTTCTGTAGAGTTCCTGAACCCTGAAGGGAAAGTTTTGATGGAGACATCCCAGTTAGAATGGAGTGTTTGAAGCCCCCCCCCCCACACACACTTCTCTGCACATTGTCTGGTTTTGGGTCTTTATTTGTTCTAGGAGGAAACTTCTCTGATGATGACTGAGCAAGGCACTGATCTATGAATATAGTAAAATGTTGTTAGAAGCAATTTTATTGCTATGTTCCTTTAGGATAACAGAAGTATTTTGGTTTCCCATAGGTCTATGTCCTATCTAGTCTCAGGTGCTTGGCCACTCAGTGCGGTGTGTGGGTTCCATCTCATGGAGTGGGCCTTAATTCTATTCAGATAGTGATTAGTTAACTTCCTCTTCTATGACATCATTTTACCAATGTATCTTGCATGAAGGTCACCACTGTAGATTGAAGGGTCTGTATAATGTTTACATTGGGGCTAACCTTTCTCCTCTGGTAGTATGTGTAGAGTGCCTTCCAGTACCACGAACACTATAGTTAGTTGAGGTGAAGGTTCTGGGTAAATAACAGATTTCTCCATGATCAGTGATTTTCTTTCCATCTTTTTGTAGATGTTGTCTTTAGCAGTAGGTCCATCAGTTGTGGAGAGTTGGCAATAGCCTGAGTTTGGAGGTTTCCAAGGAGCCTCTTAACTATAAAGTAATAAGCTTCCATATGAAGTTTCTATACATATTTCATTTTGGTTAGTTTTATCTTCCCCCGTTCTCCCATATCTCTCTGCTCCTTATACTCTTGTTTTCATCCTTCCTTCCATTTTGCTATGTTGTCTTTCCTACTTGCTTCTTATGAGCCTTTTTCCCCCAATCTCATGTTTCTAGAAAAAAAAAAACACATTGTCTTGAATTTTTGTTTTCTGCAGGTACTTGTGTAAATTAACAGGGAGACTTAGTATCCTTCAAAATGTGTCTCAGTGCTTGAGAATGTGGCTCTCTCATTAGGTATTTCTCTTTAAGTGCATGCCACTGAATGTCAGGACTATGCCTCTGCATCACTAGGGTGTGTGCTGGCAGGGCTTTACTCCTGCCAGCTGTGCATCTTTGTAGCTAAGCAGCCACTGGGTTTTTAGGGAATAAATTGAAGATAGTCTTCTAGCCAGAAGAGGTAGATTCCATCTTTGCTTTATGTAGTAAGGAAAATGAGTGGAACTCTTAATCTGTTCCCATATTTGTTCCAAACATTATACAATACATTATGATATAAAATAGATACTGTATGAGAAAATACTTGCATTTCTTTTTCATTGCTTATAAACAGGATGGTCTGTGTTTTCCATCCCTCTGTTCTTCAGAGTACATCTTAAAGATGGCACATTTCTAATGACAGGGAAATTTATTTCTTCAATGTAAAAGCAAGGAGAAAAACATTAATATGGGTTGGAGAGCTGGTTGAGCAACTAAGAGCATTTATACTATTCCTCCACAGGACCTGAATGTGCTTTTCAGCACCCATGGAGTGTTCAAAACTGCTTGTAACTCTGGCCCCGGGGGGGGGGGGGGCGGGGGAGGAATGGAACATCTCTGGCCTCCACAGGCATCTATACATACATACACACATACATACACACATACATACATACATACACATTAGTAAGGAGGTTTGCTTGTTGGTTCCTGGCTGCCCAGCTAGCTTAGAGCTGAAATAATCACACAGAAACTATATTATTTAAAACATGGCTTGGCCCATTAGCTCTAGCTTCTTATTGGCTAACTCTTACATCTTAATTTAACCCATTTCTATTAATCTGTATATCATGATGACATCATGGCCTACCAGCAAATTTTCAGCATATCTTTTTCAGGGGGCCGCTCCATGGTATCCCTTGACTCCACCCTTCTTTCTCACAGCATTCAGTTTTGTTTTCCCCACCTACCTAAGTTCTGTGCTGCTATAGGTCCAAAGCAGTTTCTTTAATCATTAATGGTATTTAAGCATACAGAGGGAAATCCCACATCACATAACTAAATATATTAAATCTTCAAAAAAAAAAAAACCCCACTGATAGTAAATGTATGTCTTAAATTTAAGTTATTTTACTTTGCATGCTTTGGCAGAGTTAGTACAATGAATTATCATAACAAAGAAGTTTTTAAGATCTAAATATCATTTCTTAGGAGAAAATGTCACAAGCAAGACAGATCTGCCCAGAACGGATAGAAGTAAAGAAATCTGCATCAATTCTAGACAAAGAAATTAATCGGTTAAGACAAAAAATACAGGCAGAACATGCTAGTCATGGAGATCGAGAAGAAATAATGAAGTAAGTGATCGTTAATTTTCTTCTTTAGTGTAATATCCATGGATATTATTAACACTGAATCATTTTGTATGTAAATTTAATTTGGATGAAGTTTACCATCAATATATAATTGTACTGAAGTAGTATGTTAGATGGGCATTACTAGCAATGAACAATAACTTATTACTAAATTATGGAATGACATTTTAGCATAAATGCAATTTATGTTATAAGAATCATATGGACAGGAAAATATTAAGCTTCATAAGTGATCCAGAACTGCAAGTCAGAATAATTAGAAGCTGTTTTCCACATGCATGAAAATAAATGCAGTTAGTCAGTCACTAGTAGTCTAGGTCATTGATGTCTTGTTGAAATGGGTGTTCTTTCATTACCGATATAAAGGAAGGCTTTAAGAGAATTAGAGGACTTTATGATTTTGCTGTTGTCTACTGCCATGACTGGCCAATCATCGAATCTTCTTTCGCCTTTTCCATTTACATAATGTGTACAATTATGATTACTTAGCGTTTGTTAGGAAAATTAAATGAAAGAATCTATAATAAATAGAATCTAGAGGAAACCTAGCATATGGTTGTTCGAGCTTTTCTGAAAAGGATTTCATCAGTATGAATCAATGCTTTATGGAATATTTGTTGTAATTTTAAATGAGTTACTACTTTTATATTGTAATGTAAGGTGAGAAAATAAACTAAGTCCCTTATAGGTATTATTTTTTACAAATGAAACGTTAACAATAGTACACATCTCTGAAGAATGGCTAAAGATTAGTAAAATTACAGCTTTTCTACAAAATCCCTTTTTATATTACAAAAGGCTGAGAAGGGGTCCAGCAAGTGAAAGCACCAGATGCCACGCCTGGTTGTGTGGCCATAGTTCAACTCCTGGTACCCATTCTATGTAAGGAGAGAACTGACAACATTGGGTACCCACTAACCTCCACATGCAGGTGCACACCATAAATAAGTAATTTTTAAAGTTTGAGAAAACAAGTAATCTCAGCTTCATTTTCAAAACAATGGGGAGAAAAATCAGACTATTAACTTTCTGGAGGCAGTATATCACACTTTTTAAAAAATTTATAAATTCCATTATTTGGATGTTGATGCCACTCAGTAGTATATACTTGCCTATCATACACAAGACTCGGGCTTTGGGCTGGAGAGGTGGCTCAGAGGTTAAGAGCACTGCCTGCTCTTCCAGAGATCCTGAGTTCAATTCCCAGCAACCACATGGTGGCTCACAACCATCTGTACTGAGGTCTGGTGCCTTCCTCTGGCGTGTGGGCATACATTGAGGCAGAATGTTGTATACATAATAAATAAATAAATCTTTAAAAAAAAAAAAAAAAAAGACTCGGGCTTTGATTCTCAGTACTGCATCATGTATACAGTGTGTGTGTGTGTGTGTGTGTGTGTGTATGAATGATCTGGGGAGAGAGGGTGACTCTAACATTGTTGCTGTGCAATCGCAATCACGGTGTCCTGAATTAGCCAGCATCAGGCCAGTTGGGTCCTCAGTGGGCCAGCCAGACAAATAGGTAAGGTTTAGATTTAGTGAGAGAGTGTCAGCCTGTTGATTTTCTTTCATTGTGGCAGTTTTGAGTAGGTATGCCTTCCTTACCTTGCTGATCTATGTTGTTTAGAATGGAGGGGTTCCAATACTGACCTTGTGTTCCTTTGTTCCTTGTTGACATTGTTACTAAGAAGACTTTCTGGTGTGACCCTTTTATCTTTAGAAAGTGTCATTTGACTAGTATATTCTGACATCTGCCACCCCTGAGCCTTACCTGGTTACTTAACCTTTTCTATCTCACTGTATTTTCTCCTTTACCCCTTCACACTTGCCTTGTCTATCTCTGGTAGCATTCATTCTTTGACTAGAAATTCATGGAATCACTGTTCTTAGGGTCTCTCAACACTATTCTTTCCCCTTCTTTCTCCAGTAAAATATATTTGAAACTTTACTTCTATGTTTATATTTATTTACTGAATATTTTATTCATAAAATAGGCAGTACCAGGAAGCAAGAGAAACATATCTTGATCTGGATAATAAAGTAAGAACTTTAAGAAGGTTCATTAAATTACTAGAAGAAATAATGACTCATAGGTACAAAACATACCAACAGTTTAGAAGGTAAGTGCATTTGAAAGGTATATCTCTTTTTCTTTTCACATTATTCTATATGAATAATAAAATCATTAGCTCTTTCCTCAAGTTCAGCTGTATGAGATACTATGGGTGCATGATCCACTTTTAGAAACTGTAGTTGAATCAGTACTTTGAAAGGACCTTAACAACAAGCTGGCCCAGCTTTTTTACTGTTAGGTATCCTTTACTAGATAGCTTTCAGATGCTTGATTGCCCAGGAGGGTGTTTTGAGTGAGAACTTAGTAGTACTGGAGCAGTTGATTTTACTTTTGGAAATTGTATGTTTCTAAGGAAGATTGGAGGGGCCTCTTAAAACACTATCTCAATTGCTTTACCGAGATCTACTAGAATGGTGTCATTCCATGATTATAAACCTTTCTTTTTTTTTATTTACTGCGGTGTCTAGTGTTTATAACTCTGCTTGGAATATAGCTGGTACTTGATATATATTGGTTGAATAAATACCCAAGGAAACAAGCTATTAAATATCATACATATGGTACTTTGAAAGAAACTGTCTTCCAAAGGGAGTGGCACTATTAGGTATGGCTTTGTTGCACTAGGTGTGGTGTTGGAGGAAGTGTGTCACTGTAGGCTTTGAGGTCTCATAAGCTCAAGCCACACCCAGTGTCTCAAATCACGTCTTGTTGCTTGTGAGTCAAGATGTAAGAACTCTGAGCTCCTTCTCTAGCACTAAGTCTGCCTGCATGCTGCCTTGTTTCTCGCCATAATGGACTGAACCTCTGAACTATAAACAAGCAACCACAATTAAATGTTTTCCTTTATAAGAGTTGCTGTGGTCATGGTGTCTCTTCAGAACAATAGAAACCCTAACTAAGACAATACTCAAAAGACATATGCTCTTTCAGGAGTAAATAGATCTCCTACTTACACCACAAGAAGCCGGAGGGGGGGATAAAAACTGGAAGGCAGTTTATAGAGGTTATAGCTTTTAATAATCTTATCCCGAGGCAGCTATAGTTCTGTTTACCTGTGTTTTCCCCATATAGTTCCTCAGTAATGCTTCTTACTTGTCTTTATATCCCAGTTTCTACGATTGTATGTTTGTGTATAGAGCATGTCATATGTGTGTGGAGGCCTGAGGTTGATAACAAGTGTTTCCTTAATCCCACCCCCCGAATTTTTAAAAATTTGCAGTTTTTTTTGGGGGGGGGCTGTCAAGCATCTCTTGCTGAGCCTGAAGGCAGCAGCCTGAGGCTATGTGGGGCTTTTTATATGATGTTTAGAGATCCAATCTCAGATCTTTACACTTTAGGGGGCAATTCAACAACTGAACCATCAACTTCCTAGAAAGAAATTCATGAAAATATACCTAGCTGTTGTATATATGGAGAAATTCAGAGGTGGCCTTATTTGGCATATATGTGTCCTGTATACTATGACCTAGTATGTGGAGGTCAGGACAATTTGCAAGAGTTCATCTTTTTCTTTCATCACATGTCCTGATTGAGCTCAGGAGCCAGGTTTAGTGGCAGTCACCTTTACCCATCTTTCTGGCCACTAGGTATGGCTTTAAAGATAAAATGTTCCATCATAGCCTTGGACTACAGTAAACTTTGAAATGCATGTGTATTTCACATGAATATTTTTTTCTTTTGTTTTAGGGGCTTTTTTTATTTGTTTGTTTGTTTTTGTTTTTCAAGACAGGCTTTCTCTGTGTAACACTCTTAACTGTCCTGGAATAGGCTCTGTAGACCAGACTGGCCTCTAACTCAAAGAGATCACCTGCCTCTGCCTCCTGAGTGCTGGAGTTAAAGGTGTGCGCCATTACCGCCTGTTCCTAGTTGTTGAATTTTTAAAATAAGGTGTTTATAGTGGGCAGTTTAATCATGCACATTTATGGGGTACAGGGTTGCATTTCAGTACATGCACATAAATATTTCAGTACATGTACATAAACAGATACTTCCGATCAGGGTCATTGGCACAACTGTGGTATGTCCTCCACAGTCTTTGTACATCTTTCTGCTCTCTCTAGTGCTGTGCTCTCTAGGTTTGTGTTCCTCCTCAAATGTTAGGCTGCATGAAAGTGTACATTTGCTTTAGTCTTTAATGAGTAGTAATTTGGGGCCATTTGTAGGGCTCATCAGTTCATTTCCTATTTTTCAGAGATCATTTTGACTGGAACTGCCTTTGCTATTTGGTATCCAGACTGAAAACTCTTATTTCATGTATTTTGTCTCGGTTTTGAAGAGTTTTAGAAAAATAAGTGAGGCCGGGCGATGGTGGCACACACCTTTAATCCCAGCACTCGGGAGGCAAAGGCAGGCAGATCTCTGTGAGTTCGAGACCAGCCTGGTCTACAGAACTAGTTCCAGGACAGGCTCCAAAGCCACAGAGAAACCCTGTCTCGAAAAACCAAAAAAAAAAAAAAAAGATAATTTCCCTATTTTTATTTTGAATTTAAATTTAAAATAAAGTTTCAGTTATGTACCTGTTTTCCATATGTAGTTTGTTTCTTTGTTGTTATAGAAGCTAACATTTAAATAGTCTCTGTAAAAGTTGTGCTTTCTTGGTTTGGGTTCTTTTTCTTGTTGCTGGGACAAACACTGAGAAAAGCAACTTAGAGAGGAAGTGTTAAGTTCTGCTCACAGGTCAAGGGAGTAGGAATTTGAAGCAGCTGGTTATGTTGTATCCACAGGGAAAAAGCAAGAGTCAAGTGTGAATTCATGCTGTTCTGATCCCTTTTTACATCGTTAGCTAAGGATCCCGTGCCCAAGGAATGGTCTTTTAGGCTGGCCTTAGCCAATAAAGATAATTCATCACAGGTATGCTCAGGCTCGTTCCTCATGTTATTTTGGATTGTCACATTGACAAAACTAGCCATCATAGTGTGTTACCTTAGTAGAGGCTTTAACACTGAAGTGTTTTTCAATATTGTTTTCTCGGTTGTGGAAAGAGAACAAACATGACCAACTTGTTAGAATCATTTCTGTCTACTCTCTAACCTTATTTTTGGACAGTTTATGATAGAAATCCTGTGAATGGAAGCAGTCCATACATTGGAGTATTGAAGGATGTTATAGAGAGTTCTGGAATCCAGTTACTAGTGTTGAGGCAGTGAAAGAAACCAAGAAAATCTAGATTTCTCTGTCTTTGAGTGTAGAGAGTTAATATAGTTTAGGACATGTAGGCGGAAACTGCCTGTTTGTTTTCCTGATGCTCAGAGCCAAATAATCATACAGAAACTATTAATTACAACACTGTTTGGCCTATTAGCTCAGGCTTTTTATTGACTAGCTCTTACATCTTGAATTAACTCATTTTTATTAACCTGTGTATTGCCATGAGGCTGTGGCCTACCAGTAAAGGTTCTTGGCAAGAGAAAAGCTGCCAGCAGAAGCGACTCTCTCATTCGGCAGCTACATGGCATCTTTTTGACTCTGCGCTCTCGCGCGCTCTCTCTCTCTCTCTCTCTCTCTCTCTCTCTCTCTCTCTCTCTCTCTCTGTTTTGACTTTCCGTCTGTCTAGCTTTACTCTGCTAAGCCATTGGCCCAAACAGCTTTATTTATCAAGCAATAAATACAACACATATACAAAAGGACATCCCACATCAAGGACAGGAAACAGTGAGGAGAAAGCCATGGGTATGTTGAGGAAATAAGACTTCAACTCATTAATGAGTAGAGATGATAAGAAAAATTGCCAGTTATAAGGCTTTCATTGCCAAAATCAGGGACAGTCTGACGATCACAACAACTCCATCCTGATTAAGAGAAAGGTAGATAAGTAAACAACTGATGGCTGGGGCATAGCCCAGTCAATAAAGTGCCTGCTGTGCAAGCGTAAGGACCTGGGTTTGAGCCCCTGTTTTGTGCCCCCACATTAAAGCTGGGCCCAGAAGAATCAGACATAGTAGTACATAGTTAGACTTTTATTACTGGGGAGGTGGAGATAGGATCTCTAGGGCTCACTAGTGAAGCAGCTACCTAAATAGTAAAGCCCCAGAGCAAAGAAAGACTGCCTCATAAGTAAGGTAGACAAGAGCTGAAGAGGTGGCTAAGGGTACTGGTTCCTCTTCCAGGGTTCAATTCCCAACACCCACATAGCAACTTAATCTACAACTCCTGGATCTGTTGACTGCTGGTCTCCATGGATACTGCATGTTGTGGGTACTGCGTGTCTGTTGTGCACAGACAAACATGCAGACAAAACACATAATCATAATCTAACATGCATGCACACAGGAAAACCAAGGTGGATAGCACTAAAGAATGACAGGTGAGGTGGTTCACTGGGTCATGCACATGTCGACATAAACATACACACCAGAATCATGAGGAAAAGAGAATTAAGGCAGCAGAAATTTCCTTAATGGTTCAGTGTCACCAGACAGTGGAGCAGAAATGATGAGGCTTATAGTATACCAACAAGGGCTAAAACATTCCCCTAGCCTTCTTTCCGCTGTGAAGTTGGGGGAACAGGCAGGCAGATAAAGATGAATATTTATTTACCTTGGTGTCTCTAAAGCTTAATTTCTTTAAGGACAAGATTTGTCTTATGCCTGAGAGTAATAATGCCTTGAATAAACTATTTTGGTGACTAATACATTCATATGGACTGGCTGTCATAATGGGGCATATTAAATGTAGACTATATTCATTTATAAATACTCGATATAAAAGTAATGAATTTGTTAAAATCCAGAACACAAATAAATACTAAAAACATAGGGAAAATCATCTTAAATACACCTATTAAAATGGAGAGCTGTTGTCCAAACATTAGCATAGTTGTCTGTGTTTATATCATGTCGAACATATAGTTCTGTATTATAATGTGTCAAATTATTTTATTTCAAGGTGTTTGACATTGCGATGCAAATTATACTTTGACAACTTATTATCTCAGCGGGCTTATTGTGGAAAAATGAATTTCGACCACAAGAATGAAACTCTTAGCATATCAGTAAGTATCTTGACCCCACATTTTTATTAGTTGTTTCTGTTCTTTTGATGAGACGTTGATCAACTTTATCCTGTTAATCTTTAGAAAATAGAAATTTATTTCTAAGCTAAGATGATCTGTGCTAGTATTTTTCACATTAAGTTGCTACTAATAAAGCTAGTAGCTTGGATTTTTTTCCCCCAGTCACATTGTTTTCTTAGGATGATAAGTAATTGTTAATCCTGTCTACTTCTGTTTAAGTTTTACACAGCACCATGTAGGACATTATAGAAAGTCCATTGTCTGTAGTCCCACTGTGGGAAACCAAGAAGATTCTGCCTTGTAATTTTAATTATCTGCTGTAGATAACTACCTTTGTAGATTCTTTGGTTGTGGAAATGTGTACAGAACATGTGGTGTGGGGATATGGATTAACAATTGTATAGGAAGATAAAAAACAGTTACCTACTTTAAATAGTAACTGCTATCCTTGATATCATAATTTTATCCTTCTATTCAAATATTCACAGGAAATATTTGATATTTGGGGTGCCCTTGTCATTTAGAACCTCTGCATTTTAACCAAAATGGGAAATATTGGCCTTGCCTGATTGATTGATTGATTGATTAAATTTCCACTGGTAAATTGTGTTCACCATCTCTACCCACCATTTTTGAGATCCAGTTTTTTAAAGGTACAGATTTAAAAGTATGGGGAGGAGTTAGGCCTATGGTTGGTGAGTAGTATGTCATGATAACCCATTGTTTTTACTACAAAAGTACAAGAAATTACAAAAATTCTATTTTTAAAGACATTGGAAAGCTGTGGAAGCAACAGTGACTAGATGAATTGAAATTCCAAGAAGTGGGAGAGCCTGTCCAAAGTAAGCTAACATTGCTGGATATTTTCCTTCCTGGAGGCATTTGCTGATGTCAGAATTTTTGTGGTGAAGGGGACTTCTGAGACTAGGCAGCAGGGCTTGTGGAGTAATAGGCACATGACTACTATTTCAGTTCATTCTTGAGGGCTTAGGTTGTGCATGGCTGGGCAAAGGCACCAGAGCCTAAATCTTAGTAAGACTATAAATCCACTCCAGGCCTGATTTTGTAACATGAGGGAGCCCAGCCTGCTTGTTGTTGGGGTTTTCTGTCCTGCCCGTACCCCCAGCTGTTCAGTCCCAGAGAAAAATCACACAAAGATCTCTATAAGTTATAAAGCTGATTGACCCATTAGCTCTAGCCTCTCACTGGCTAACTCTCACATCTTGATTAACCCATTTTTCTGATCTATGTTAGCCCTGTGGCTCAGTACCTTTTTTCAGTGGGGCAGCTCACATCCTGCTGCTTCTGTGGTCTGGGCAGGAGTGGGAGGAATCAACTTCCTCCTTCCCAGAATTCTCCTGTTCTAATTACATCATTTCTGCTTCCTGTCTGATTTTCCCACCTATACTTCCTGCCTGGCCAATCAGCGTTTATTTAAAACATGATTGACAATTCTCCTGCACCATGATATCTCCCATATTAACTGTCAGGCAGCCTTAGCATAGTATGTCCTAGTCAAATGGAAACTTGACTCCACCTTGGTAGGCTAGCTATTATGTCAGCTAACATATCTGTTTTTATGCAAAACATTAAGTATAAAGTAAAAAGACTTGAGTCCCTACCATATAGTTTGGAGTCAAGCAGGTTGTCCATGCTCACCATCAGTATACCAGTGATTCTAGCCAAAATCAAGGAACAAAAGAAAGGGATGATAAAGGAAGTCAAATTCCTTATATTTATACTTAACCAGGCCGTCTATGTGATGAAATCTATATAACAAGGAACTAAAATAGTTAAATGCAACTAGCAGGGTTACAGAGACAACATTCAAAAGTGAAATATATATATTTGTTTGTTTGTTTTTCTAGCCAGGGTTTCTCTGTGGTTTTGGAGCCTGTCCTGGAATTATATTTTTATATATAGAAGCATGATCAAAAACTGAAATTTTAAAATACCATCTATAACAACATTAAGATATAAAATACATAGAAATCTGACAAAATATCTAAAATATCTGAAAAGCCAAAAGAAGTAATGAGAAATTAATGAAGACCTAAGTGAGAAATCCATGGTTGTCAGGACTCAAAAGACTCAGCAGGGTCTGGGGAGGAGTCCCATCCAGTAAAGTGCTCTGCAAGTGTTAAGACTTAAAGAGTGTAGATCGCCAGCATTGTATAAAAGGCCACACACCAACCCCAGAGCTCTATAGGCTCCTCGCCAGCAAGTCTAGCTGGATCAATGAGCTCCAAGTTCAATAAGAGACCCTGTTTCAAAAAAATAAATGTGAAAAGGATTGAGGAAAACATCTCTCTCTCTCTCTCTCTCTCTCTCTCTCTCTCTCTCTCTCTCTCTCTCTCTCACGCACACGCACACGCACACGCACACACATACTGCATAAAGCATATATGCATACAGCACATATAATTCAATATGTCAAAATTTTGGTTCTTATATTCAACACCGGTTGTAAAGTCACAAGCTTTTTTGTGGAAATTGATAAGCTGGTTCTAAAATGTGTAGAGAGTAGAGATTCAAAGGAACTAAAATAGTTATAATTACTTTGAAAAGGAAGAACAGTATTTGAAGACTTCCATTAACTGAAGACTAAAGTAATAGACAATAAGGTGGACAATAAGGTTCTGTTACATAGTGGCTCTCAACCTTCCTAATGCTGTGATCCTTTAATACAGTTCTTCATATTGTGGTGACCCCAACCATAAAATTATTTTCATTTATGAAAGTTGTTGACCCTGTTACTTCATAACTCTAATTTTGCTGCTGTTATGAATCATAATGTAAATCTGTTTCCCGATGGTCTTAGGTGACCCCCCTCAAAGGGTCGTTGAGACCTATCAAGGAGTTGTGACCCACAGATTGAGAACCCCTGTGATATAGAGCCATCCAGATTATAGAAACCAAGCACACAAGGGAATTTACCAAACGATGGATATGTTCTTTATTCTGAATTGCAGTTTCATACTTAAACATATTTATTACAACTTGATTAAATTGTGCATTTTAATTGTGTGCAGTTTGCTGAATCTTATTAAAATTCAAAAGGTTTTTTACATTTATTTGAGATTTCATGCCACAGTGTAAGTATGGAGGCCCAAGGACAATTTGCAAGTGTTTATTCTTTCCTTCTATTCTGGGAGTCCCTAAGAATGAAACTCAGATGTTCAGGTTTGGCCCCGAGTACCCTAACCTGCTAAGCTATCTTGCTGGCCCACTTCTTGTTGTTGTTTCCTTTTCTTTTCTTTTTGTCTCAAAGCCGTAACAGTTACCAGAGAAATAAGACTTGGAAATGTGATTGATAATTAAAAGGAAAAGCAAGAATAGAGCCAAACTCATGGTGATAGTTACAGTAGATAGTAGGCTGGTCTCTTACCACAAGTGATACGTTTCATGAAATAAGAGTTATCCATAGCAAAGTACAGTTTCAATACAGATTTGTAATTCACACAAAACATGGTTCTAAAACTTTTAAAATGTAGTACTTGATATGAACAACTCATTGATTGGCTTGGCTTAATCGCCAGCTGGATGTAGGTAAAGATAAATATAACTGAATTCAAGTAAGTCAGAAAGAAATATGTGAGCAACATAAAAACAAAACAAAAAACCACCAAACAGAGCCAAACAGGACAAAATTGGCAGGTTTTGTGAGAATGTAATTGGAGTTCCACTAAGAACAGAATGAGCAAAGAACAGAAAAGTATTGAGAACCAAAGTATTTAAGGGGCCAAGAGCATCAAACTTAACTTGTTCTCAGATTCTTTCACAATCTGGGAAGTGCTCTTAATTTATAATAAACCAAAACATGAGGGCTACGCTGAGGTCTCTAGCACAGCCACTGCAAAAATGTCAAGTGAATACATGTTAAAGGCCAACTAAAAGAAATTGCTTATTGAGAAGCCAGGTATGTCTATTCACATTTGGAGTGCTCAGGCAAGAGGATTAATACAAATTAGAGTCCATTGTAGGTTACAGACGGAGACCCTGTCTCAAAATAGTCAAAAGAGAGAAGACAGCAAAGAACATGGGAGACAAACACAAAATAGTGAGAAATAAGATGTAGTTACCAGTAATTACATTATGCCTTTGTGGGCCAAGAAAGTATATTAAAAGCAAAGGTTGCCAATGTGTATAATAAGATTATGAATCAGTTCTGTTAGAGGGAGACTTGAAATAATATTAACATAAGGACAATGAAGATCCTGAGTGAAAACATGGAACAAAGGTGTGTCATCCAGATGACAAGAGAACTTACACATTGCTAACAAAATGAGGTTTCCGTAGTCTTAAGACCAAAAGGAGTGCTTCATAGGATTAGAAAGTTACATTGAAAAATACTTGTATAGTCAGAAGACAGGAAAACTGGATTAAAGGGCACAATAATAGTTAAATATAGGTGGAATTTTCACTCTCAGTAATTAATGGAAAAATCATAAAGTCATTAAAGCTATACAAGCCTTATTGTATTACCAAAATTTTGACCCAGTAGCATAAAGGTAGAACACTGTGGTGGATTATAATTTTTGGTAACTGCCTTTGGAACATTTACCAGCAGCATAGACCATTTTCTTGTCCTTGGTTAAACATCTTAATAAGTTTCAAAGAATTAAAGTTAGAATTGAATGAAATTAGAAATAACAGTACCTAAAAATCCCAAATTTATAAAATTACAGATTTCTAAATGATTAAGGAATCATAACAAATCACATGGGAATTAGAAGATAATTTCCATCAACAATAAAATAGTAAAACATAGCAGAACTTGAATGAGGCATTGCAGCACTTTTCAGAAAGGAATTTGTGGTGCTCTATACATGTTTCAGGAAGGTAGATCCAGCAATAGTGGTCTGCCTCGGGAAGCTAGGAGAAGACAACTAGGAATTCAGGTACAGAGATCTCTGAGAGCAGAAGAGGAGAGGAGAAAGTACACGTCCAGGGTAACAAGACATGGAGACTGCAAAGCAGCTGACCATGACTCCCTCATCTAGACAGACACTGCTGTAAACCTGTGGGTAAAGGGTGATCATTTCATGAATTATATTGGATTCAAATTATTGGGTATTCCTTTGGTTCAACAGAAGGAAAAAAAAACCCAACTGACTTTTATCCCAGACACAAGTAAGGGGATCGAAATGCTAATTATTCTTACTTGACTGGTGTGTGCTTTATATGTGTGGAAATAAACACACCATGCTCCATTAATTTGTGCCACCCTTGCCTCCTAATAAAAAGTAAAGTATTTTCATGAAGATTTAAAAAATAGGACACAAAAAGTAATTTTAAAAAGTAGCCATAGTAAGGGAGGCTATTGCCTAGGGAAAGGTAATTTTTGGTACATAATAAAAGAACTTATCTAGATGTTTTTGAGAATAATAAAAGAAAAAAAAAACTTGGGCCCATTTTAAAATCACCAAATACTCAAACGAGAAAATATAGTTACTCAAATGGAGGCTAAGCACGTGGGCAGAGCTCAGGTTGTTAGTCACAGCAAAGCACAAACATAGGCAGGACTGGAAACTCGGTTGGTAAGGAAATGGAGTCAGAGCTACTACATTGCTATTGGGAGGAAAGTGGCATTAATTTGAAAACCCATCTACTTTTGCATGTAAATTCAAGTATAATAAATGCTTATCTCCTTAGGGGCATTGTGTCTTCCAAATGTGATATACAGTATACATTTAAATTCAGACTTTGTAAGCCTTTTAAAATATCAAAAAAGGAACGTATGCTCATTTGAGAATAGCATATGCCTGATACTTTTATAAAACTTTTCACTTTGTTAGATATATAATATGTCTGCAGTTTTGTCAAAATAAAATAGACTATCTCTTTATATTATTGTCTCAGGAAATTATGCAAAAGGAATGCTTTTAATATCATTGATTTTTCTGTTGTTGTTATTACCTTGGAGAGTTTTAAAATTTATTTTTAAAAATGTCTTTCAGTCCATTTCCACTGTTCTTGGGTAAACCTCTTTAAGTGGGTCTGTTTTGACAATCTCAATTATTAAAGCTGTGTAACCACTAGATGTCACTATGATTCTAGTAATGAAAAATTAACTCAGTAAAATGCTTCACTTGGTAACAGTTTTCGAAGAACTAGTTTAAATTGTTCGTTTTAATAAATGATGTTTGGTTAAGTATTAGATTTGTTGTCATACCTTTGGAATTTTGGCATGTTAGGTTCCATTAAGGTCACAAAAAGTACTCAATTTAATTTTTTAAGATTTATTTTCTGTGTATGGACTTTTGGTCTACGTGTATGTCTATGCACTAAGTGCATGCCTGAAACCTGAGGAGGCCAGAAGAAGGCATCCTATTTTTGGAACTGGACTCATAAATGGGCATAGATCGCATTGTGGGTGATGGGACCTGAACCTGGGTCCTCTGTGAGAGCATCTTGACTCTGAGCCATCTCTCCAGCCCCTAAGTTTAATTCTTTTAAAGTGAAACAAAAATTGGATAGCTTGCTGTTACAATATAAAATATTTTGAATGGAGTAGATTCTTTCAAACTTCTAAATGATCTTAGCTTTACCTCTTCTCTCTCTCTCTCTCTCTCTCTCTCTCTCTCTCTCTCTCTCTCTCTCTCTCTCTCTCTCTNTCTCTCTCTCTCTCTCTCTCTCTCTCTCTCTCTCTCTCTCTCTCTCTCTCTCTCTCTCTCTCTCTCTAACTATAAACCTATTTCTTGTGGTCACCCTTAAAGGTTCAGCCTGGAGAGGGAAATAAAGCTTCCTTCAATGACATGCGTGCTTTGTCCGGCGGTGAGCGCTCTTTCTCCACAGTGTGCTTCATCCTTTCCCTGTGGTCCATTGCCGAATCACCTTTCAGATGCCTGGATGAGTTTGATGTCTACATGGTACTGTTGAATTTTAATTTTTCTAATTTTTATTTGTTTGGAATGTTTTGAAAGGAAGAATCTTTTGTTTCTCCACAGCAGGGTTGGCATGCCTTGCCACATTAGTTTGTGATGTTAGTGGTGGGAAAACCCTATAGGTTAGTTATCTCCAAGGCTACTGTGGTCCTCTAGAGACCCAGCTATACTCCAGCTTTTGTCTAACGATATACATTGTGAGTGTCCACCTGGCAGGCTTTCTCTCCTTCAGCCTTTTCCCTAGCTTATTGCCATCAACATAGAAATAATTATAAAGCTTTTGCTTCTTAACACATAGCTTTTGTAGACTGGCTCCTTGAGTTATGGTCAGGCTTTTCAAAAGAATAACATGAAGGCAAGCTAGGTAACAGATGCAAGGACATTTGACTTTAAGGGTTAAAAAAAAAGGTTGTGAAATCTTGGTCTGCTACAATTTTTCAAATGACTTAGATTTACCCTTCAGGGGTCTCCATGCAATAGATGACATTGTTATCTGCTACCTCATCGGGCTGCAGTGAGGCTCAGACGAGATTCTGTATCTAACAATGCCCTCACTATTGATGCATTGTAGTCTGGGTGCAGGCTCTACAGCAGCGCTTGTTGATCAGCTTGGTCTCTATTTACTGGAGTACTTGGCACCTGACCTCCCTCTGGGGTGTGTTCTCTTATCGCCTCTACACTCTTTCTGGATTTACATTTTCTGTGTCCTCTTTCTAGTCTGACTTTCTACCTCCCAATTCTGATATCACCGAGTGTTTGAATTTTTCGGTTTGCTTTCTACAGTATTGTTAATTTTCTGGTCACGTGTAGATTTGATGTCATATATATTCCTCCCTACAGGCTCCAAATACTATCTGCTTATAGACCTACTTGATGGATGTTTTCTGTCCTGATATCTCATTTGCAGTCTAGATTTTCCACTACCATTCCACCATCCAGTAAACTGTCAGCATCCGAGCTCAGTGTATCTGAGACCGAGTGGCTATTTCTCTCAAAACATTTTTCTTTACTAAATTTTTTACCTTGTTAATGACAAATTATCATTACCACTCTAATCACCTAGCTCTAAAACCTGTGTATATCTGACTAACTTCCCTTTGACTTACACGCTGACTGGTCCTTTTTGACCCTCTGCAAAAGTTTCTACCCTTTTCTTCCTCCTCGTGTGGCTCTGCTACCTCCTGTTGTTTACCTCCAGCTGCTGTAGTATCCTCTTGAGCTAGGCTTTCGGACTGTCTTGCTACTTCTGCAGCCCATCTTCCACATGTTTTAGGGGAGTTGATTTGTAAAAACAGGCCTGACGATGGTAACTCTTTTAAAAGCCCTAGTTGGTTATATCTAAAGTATGTAATTTTGTAAGGTAATATTGAGACCCTTAACGGTATAAAAATTTTAGCTGTACTAACCTATAATTTTCCAAGCTCCATGCCTGTCTAATGTTTTCATGCATTGTGTGTTCAAGTCTGCTTATCTTTCAATGATGCTGATTTGGTGATGCCTTGTGACTGCCAAATTCTAAGAAACTGGATAAATTTGAAACTAGACATGTTTTGTCTTTATCCTGAGGAATTAACTATTACTGTACTTATAGATTAATTCTTAATAATTGTGTTATTGGTATATTTTCTTATTATTTTAGTTGTTACATGTGTTTGAAAGAGGAAGCCATAATATAAATATTCATGTCTCTAGAAATGACCTGGGAGGATATTTTTATAGTTTCTGATACTGTTTTTCTATAAATGATCTATGTGGTATTGTATATAAAGTAATGAACCAAATTCTAGAAGTTTGTTTCAGCCAATAGAATGTGCTTTTACAGGAATAGGTGATGCGAAACCAGTCCTAACTTTTATCATTTTTTTCTTCAGGATATGGTTAATAGGAGAATTGCAATGGACATGATACTTAAGATGGCAGATTCCCAGCGTTTTAGACAATTTATCTTGCTTACTCCTCAAAGCATGAGGTAACTTCTTAAAACTTTTTGTGAACACACACATATGTGTGTTTTGTTTTTCTGATTACATGTAGAAGTGATGTACATAACTTAACACCCCTCCCTACACATACAAGGCTCCAAAGTCATACCTGCCAGATGAAGGTGTCTCATTCTGTAGGTCTAGACCTGTGTGCCCTGATACCCAGTATCATCCAGCAAACATTCTGAGCTCAGTGTGTCTGAGACTCAATGGGTCTTCCTTTCAGAACATCTTTCATTTCTAAATATATGCACCATTTAATAATGGGAGAGGAATCTGTATGGACACACACACACACACACACACACACACACACACACACAGTCCATGGTAGAGAAATCTGTATGGAGACACACACACATACACACACACACACACACACACACACACACACACACACACAGAGTCCCAGCCAGCCAAAGTAGTCCTGAGTGAAAACAGCATAGAACTGGCATGGTTTTAAATACAGAAGTAAATAACCAGGGTGAGGAGGCTTTAGTCCTTTTCTTGCTCAGCAGACTTAAGATGACTTCTGCTTTCCTAGGTGCATAGACTTTTATTCATGTCCTGCCCCTTCTTTAAGAAATGAATGGACTCAAAAGTAATTTTGACTTGATTTTGAATTTGTTCCTTTGTGGTTTTTGATTTTAGTAATTCTGTGTAAGATAAATGACTCCAGATTTCCTCCTCTTTATTCTTGGTTACTTAGAAACACTAGTCTTAGAAAGAGCTCTGCTCTGCTAGCTATCCTCTGCCATGAAGGATTGTGATTCTGTGGAAGTTTGATTTGGAATATACAGGCCACTCTAGACAAGAATGTGAAATAGCTGACATAAAATTTTTTTATTCTCTTTTCATCCAAATTGAAAATAGTAGGATCTAGCAGGAAGTTTTCATTCATTGATTGCTCATATTGTTGGGGACTGAACCAATGGTGAGTGCAAATATTTAATGAGTAGAAACTTTTTTTGGGGGAAACTGAGTGTTTAATTTTGCTTCCTCTAGCTCACTTCCTTCAAGTAAACTGATTAGAATTCTTCGAATGTCTGATCCTGAAAGAGGGCAAGCCACATTGCCTTTCCGACCTGTGACTCAGGAGGAAGATGACAACACCAGTTGACAACTTAGTGCCTTGCCCTCCTGCTGAAAGATTGTGAAGGGGTCTGGACTGGCAGATGAAATAGAATGAGACTAGAGAGATTCTGAAATCTCCTTTCATCTGATCCATCGATTGTGGAAAGCCTAGAAAACCAGCCGCTGCCAATAGATAAATGACTGCTTTCCTTGTGAAAACCAATTTCACAATACTGGTTTTAAACCTTTTAAGTTTGCTTGCTTTAGAGTTTCTGTGTTTTACTTGTTTGTTTTTACCATCTACTTTTATAAATTTTTTCAGGAGTAAAATTTTGTACATATGCACATGTACATATCTGTTCAGTTTGCGTTCATTTCTATAGTATTTTGTAAGAATTATAATAAAAGTTTGAGCACCTGATGTTTACTTTTGACTCAGGTTGTTACGGTCTAGTTTTTAAAATTAACAAATGTCTCAGTATGGAATGGGGGATGCAGTGCACAAGACTGGATATACTGCACACTTAGTTTAAGTATTAGAGACCTACATAAGTCTGGATATACTAAGCAAAATCTTTGCTTGCGCATTGATTTTCAGCACTAGGGTACAACTATAGATTTGGGGTATAGTTTTTATTTATTTTTATTTTTTATGGTTTATTTATTTTATGTGCATTGGTGTGAAGGTGTCAGATCCACTACAACTGGATCTTCAGACAGTTGTGAGCTGCCATGTGGGTGCTGGGAATTGAACCCAGATCCTTTGGAATAGCAGCCGGTGCTCTTAACCACTGAACCATCTCTCCAGCCCCTGGGGTATAGTTTTTAATCACTATATTTCATTAATTTTAAGTTGGCAAAAGTACCTTTTATTAGGCACTTTGATAAATTACTGAAGTGCTGCCAGTCCCAACAATGCTTTCTCCTTTGTCCTTAAACTGTCTTCTACCCAAGGAAGAACATGCCAGGGCTGTGTGGTAGAGTTCCCATTTTGACCTGTAGCTTGTCTCCCTAGTGTAAAAGCCCTCTGTTTCTGGTGGTACTGCCACGGGTGGGGTGTGTGTGTGTGTGTGTGTGTGCGCGCGCGCGCGTGCTCGCGCAGGAAGATCAGCTAGGCTTGCCTAAGCTATAGAGTAAGTTCAAGGCCAGCCTGGGCAGCTTTACTATCTTAAAAGTGACAATGAGGACTGAAAACATGAGAGCAGGACTGGGAAGACCGGGAGGTGCGTGCCTATTGTCAGAGTAGCTAGGGTCAAAGCCTGTGTTTGATAGTGGAATGACATTAGAAACACCCTGAATTTACAGAGAGTGAAGAGTTTCTTCACTGAATTTATTGTAAAAATTGCTAGTTTTGATTTTTAAGAAAACATGAGCATACTAGTGCCTGTGTTCTGTAACAGCTACTAAGGTTAGGACTAACCTTTAACATTGAATAGCAGCAAGAAGCACTCCCTCTATTACCAGCAATAAGAATCAGAATACATATTTATGAACTTGAAAAGGAAATATTTTGAGAAAAGTACTATTTTTAAAAGCAAGCGTACTTATATAGTTATTGAAAAATATGATTTTGTTTTGGTGGGGAAGGGAATGTATTCTTAGAATAGTTGCCAAAAATCCAAACGCATTTCTAGTCTGATACAGAAAGAGGAAACTGCTGAGTGTTTTAAACTCCCCACCCCCATATGCAGCATAACTCGTTTGTATCAGAACTATTTTAGCATACATACATTTTTCTTTCAAATAAAAAGTGAAGTGGAATTTACCAGTAGCTAAAGAGTTTCAGTGATTTGAGTTCTTGTAGCGGTTTTAAATGTGCTTCTACAGAATGAGAAGTACAACCCTGGGATCCTGAGCTTCTCCCACTGAAGGCAGTGCCTTATGGGAAATGCAGCCCTCGGATCCTGAGCTTCTCCCACTGAAGGCAGTGCCTTATGGGAAATGCAGCCCTCAGTCTGAGCTTCTCCCACTGAAGGCAGTGCCTTATGGGAAATGCAGCCCTCAGAGTCTGAGCTGCTCCTGCTGAAGACAGTCAAAACGTTTTATTTTCAATATTAAGCCATCCTGTGTTAGTAATAACATCCGTTGGAAAATTTTAAAAGCTATTGTTCTTTTAAACTATGTGTAACTTCCAAAAATAAAACGTAAAATTTATATGTATTAAGGTTATGCTTTTGTGAACTGGACAAGGACTAATTGACTAACTTGGGCCAATTCTTGAACAGGTATTTATACATGTCATTCAGGTAGATCTAAAATCCCTAGACACCCCAAAACAGCTTTGATTTTAAAACTTAACACACTCAGTGTTCTTCCCAGGAAATGATCAGAATTATTCACAAAATGACAAGAGTAGTTAGTCTAGCCAAAGTATGTGTATAGTTACTAAGATTAATAAACAACTTATTTTAAATATTTTCCAAGTTTTCATTTCTTCCATTCCCTTTCATGTGTGGGAGGACTGGCTCAAATTCTGTGTAAGAAACTGGGCATTGTATTGTACCAAGGGTGCTGTGATTGAGTGGCCCAGTATGCCTAGCCAGAAGATAAGAATGGTCATGAGTTCCCAGAAGAGCTACATAACAAGACTTCCCCCCACACACACACCAAATTTTTCCTTGAATACAAATGAGATGTAGGAATAAAGGTTAAATGTGAATAATGCCCTAAGGCAGTATTCCAGTCATACTAATGCTTTTACACAGCTATTGCTGCAGTGTCCCCTGATGTCCCATGTGTTAAAAATTTGGTTTCCTTCTAGCCTGTGGTGGTAATTGGGTAGTAGTGGAACATCAGGAGGTGGAGCCTACTGAAAGGAAGTTAGGTGTTTGGTGATGGGAGTTGTATCCTTGAAGCTGCCAACTTGACCCCTTCTGAGGTTAACCCCAGGGTATGAAGGAAGTCAGTGAGGATTCTGGTTGCTGAGGTGTGACTGCTTTAGTGGGACTCAGTTACAGAGGACTGAGTCAACATCTCAGCTCCTGGACGCGCACTCAGCATTATGTGTACAGTACATCCTCTTTCCCCCTTCCTTACCTTTTGCAGGTAATACCTTTCACAGGTGGCCACAACAGCAAATCCCTTCCACGTTCCAGGAACTTGCATTGTGGAGACTCTCAGTAGACAGAGACCGCTCGTTTGTTCCCAGCTGCCCAGACCCGAAATAGTCACTCAGAAACTATTAATTAAATCACTGCCTGACCTATTAGCCTGGGCTTCCTACTAACTAACTCTTACATCTTAACCCATTTCTATTATTTTATATTTTACCACGAGGCTTGTGGTTTACTGGTAAGGTTCCCAGGCGTCTGTCTCTTTTGGTGGCTACATGGTGTCTCCCTGAATCCCTTCTTTTCTCCTCTATCTCTGCTTGGAATTCCCGCCTTGCTCTATTCTATGCTGCAATAGGCCCAAAGCAGCTTCTTTATTAACCACTGGTAATAAAACATCTTTAGTGCTTACAGAGAGAAATCCCACATCAACCTTCCTTGTTCTGGGTAGAGTGTAACTTCAAGTAATGGAATCTGGTAGAATTATGTAGTCCCAGGCTAGATCTGAATAGACAGTGAAGAGAAGCGGAACTCCTGCGTTGGTCTCTGAATACTCAAGGACTTTTAAGTGGATCCTCTAGGCTTGACAGGAGTGAGCTACTTCCCTCATGGTTGCCATAGGAGGAAGCTGAAATTGCTCCTGTGGAGAAGCCTTGATATTAGGTAGAAGAGGTATTGTGCTCTTACTCTACGGCTGTTCAAAGCTTCCTGTGTCTCAAAGCAGGAGAGATTCCAAGCCAGAATAAACCAAATGCGTTGTGGAATTAAAGGACAGGACACTGTTTCAAGACATTGAAGTTCAGAGTGGTTTATTTATAGCTAAAGGAACAGATCTTCATACTTGAAGGTAAATGTTATAAAGTAAAACTAAATCTAATTCATAAAGTACTGGATACAGAATGTCACAAATCTAAATGGCCTTGAGGAAGCAACAGAAAGCCAGCTAGTCTTACTGAGAAACACTGAATTGGAAGTGCCATGATTAGGATGCGGGAAGCTAAGTAAAGTGATGGATGCATAGTTCCTGGGGAACAGGAAATGACACACAATAAAGTAGAATGTCAAGACTGTGGAAAGTACTTTCGGCCGAACCCTGGTGCCTGTGATACAATGAGAGTGACATCTAAGGGTCCAAACTTGCATCTCATTCCTGTGTGCAAGATGCTGACAGCTTTGCAAATTTAGAAAAAGGCTTCAGTGCAAAAACCAATCCCATATTGTCAGGCCTCCTTAAAAGGAACGAAAACTGGTCTCAGGGCCCCAAAGGCCTAAGCCCTGTACTGAAAGTTAGCTATTAATAAAAATGGCACCTTGCTTTCAACTTGGAAAAGGAAGGAAAAAAAAAATCCAAGGTCAGACAACGTAATCCTTTTGCTAGGGCATCAGCGTCAGGAAGTTTTAGGTGGGTGTTTAAGACTTTTGCAGTGTTTCCTTCTGGCTAGGCAGTGATGGCACACACTTTTAGGATCTCTCTTGAGTTATAGGCCAGCCTGGTCTACAGGAATAGTTCAGGACAGCCAGGGCTGTCGAAAGAAACCCTGTTAATACCTTTAGGCTTTCATTCCATACCAGTGTCACAGAGAAGCTCTCTGCAGTTAGGACCTGGCACCCTCATAACAGGTCTCAATTGCCTGTAACTTCTGTTCCAGAGGACTCAATACCTGGACTCCGTGGGTACTAGGCACACACAAAGTACACATATATACATCATACACAGAAAAGCACAATAGAAAATTTTGAAAAGAATTGTATTAAAAGTCATGGTAGTTGTAAGATTTTACATGTAGATAATAGACTGGAGCCCCCATCAAGCTTCCAGGATATATGTCACTGGACTTTAGAGTTACCCTTGATTAGAAAAGCTGTGTCCTTTTCCTATTTCCTTTCCCTATTATAATGGTTCTAAGCGAAGATCACCACTTCATGTTGTGTTTGAGGGGAAATAATTATCCCGTTGGTACAAAGGACTTAATCTCAGCACTTGGGAAGCAGAGGCTGATAGATATCTGAGTTTGAGGCCAGCCTGATATATAGAGGGAATTCCAGAATAGCCAGGACCACACAAAGAAACCCTGTCTCAGAAAAGAAAAGAAAAGGAAAAAAAAAATGGTACTTGTGGTAGTTTGAATGTAATTGATCACCATAAACTCACAGGGAGTGACACTATTGGGAGGTGTGGCCTTGTTGGAGTAGGTGTGGTCTTGTTTGAGAAGTGTGTCATTGGATGTGGGCTTTGAGGTCTCATATATGCTCAAACCATGTCCAGTGTCTCAGTTCACTTCCTGTTGCTACTGGATCAAAATGTAGAATTCTCAGGGGCTGGAGAGATGTCTAGGCAGTTAAGAACACTGATTGCTCTTCCAGAAGGCCCAGGTTCAATTCCC